GGCCAACACAAAAGAAACCAAAATGGCTCAAGAAACATTGGCTGAAGATGTCGCAGTTGAAGGCCTTGTTTCTTCGTCCTTCGAAACATATGTTTTTTCATAACTACAGTAATCATCTCGAACCATGATACCAAAACATAGACGCCAGGTGAACCCAAAGAATCTCACGACCGTCACTCCTGCGCGGAACTTCTTCGTGGGGCAGCGGCAGTTGCACGTTCCCTGGCCAAAAGCTCTTATAAGTTGGATGCATGAGGGGTTGCAGGGCTTGCTAGTTGACAGCTGCAGCTGAGGCCATTGATGTGTTTGCAAGTGCCGGCCATGAGGGAACGCTCAATCTCTCGCAGCAGATTGATAGAATGGCCAATTCCAACACTGATGTTGCACCATGCCTCACGCCGAAAGGCCAATTTTGGAACACTGAGCGGCAGCGCCTGTTGACAGGCTGGGATTGGGAAGGTTGAAACATGTTGAACATCAACCTGGTCGTGAGTTGGTCTTTCATTGCATTTCAACAGGCATTGAGAAACTCATGTTTCTCGGCTATCCGATCCACAAGTTGGCGCTCGAGCATCTAGATGAAGAGGACTGCTTCCACAGCTGCTATCAAAACAAACGAACTAACAAACGACTACGCCACTATATAAGCTTATATAATAGGATACTATTTTCTATGAATGCTTCGAGGAATTGCATTCGCTGGGTGGCAACGTCCTAGACTCATACTTGCTCCTTATAGTCCAGTCTCATGGAAGCATGAACAACAGATATGGCGAACACCGGAAACCGGGCCCAGGGCATGAGCATCAAGTCCATTGCAGCTGCCTTTGTGGTCGCCTTCAGCTGCGTCGACCTCGGCAGCTTCTATCAGAAGGCAATTGAGCAAGGCCGTCGCTAGGAATAGAGCAGGCTGGGATTTCTCTCACAAAGAGACTTTGACGCAGCTATGACTATGGAAGCAAAAAAAAGTAGACTGACCAGCTACGCAGCGTATGCAATCACTGATACCGATGTATTCTGTAATTTTGTAATTATCTGAGTTTTTTGTGATAACTGCTCTATTGCACATTCAAGCAAAGCCTTTTGTAGCTGCCCTGCCTTTTTTTGCCCATGGAGCGTTTTGAAGCACCGGATTCAGATTCTTCCTACTCATCGTCTGAGTCTGAGTCCGATCTAGAAGGATTGCCAGAACACAAAAGAAGGCGCTTGAGGTCTTCGTCATCGAGTTCGTCCACATCAAGCTCAGGCCCCAGCATTTCAAAAGCTGGAGCACAGCCGGCAGGTCTCCTGTTGAGCCAATTGGCACTGATTGATGATGGAGACTCCCGGGGTTCACAGAAGGATTTGTCAGTATATGCACAAAAAGGACAGGATCCAAACCGTGTAAGGGAAGCCCTACATCAAGGGTGTTGCACTTCAAACTGCAAGAGAGGTCTTCATTTCCGGCTGGTCATGAACATGGTCTGTTTGTTCTGGTCATTGCCAAAGGTGTCGCAGGACAGCCTTTTGTGGAGTATGCAGCAATGTGCACAACATGTTGCTTCTGATGCTTCTTCTGATGATGAGAGCGACTCCGCCAATAGTGTCCAGCGGTACAAGATTTCATGGTCCCTTGAAGGCCTGTCTTTGGGTTTAAAGCGGAAACTGCAGCAAGGTCAATGTCCAACTTCATTATACTATAATTCCAACACGTTTCACAATTCATTTCCACCGCAAGGCCACCCCGTGTGTCGGCAAGCCTTCCTCAAGATCTTGGGGATCAGCGCCTCGCGTTTGGTCAGGACTCGGCATTCCTACAAGGGTATAGATGCACGCAGTTGGGGCTACTTAGTTTGTGAAACATTATGGTAAACCAATCGTGTTGCTTGACTGAATAGTTGCATTTCCTCTAGCTTGCAGCATGGTTTTAAGGTTCCAAAGGTCACCGTTCGGCAGAAGCTGGAGCATCTGTTCTAACGTTCCTTGAGAAAGTCTATTGGTCTATAGGGGAGACTCTTCCACACGAGCCCTTTGACTGAAAGTGCTGTCCATTTGATGCATCTTCTGGATGATACACTGTGCGCAATACCAATCCCCCAATAGCCAATAGTATCATCCACTACCCAGGTTAGAAGTGGATGGTGCAAAGGACTTGGGGACGCAAGGTGCAAGGGAGATGCTTCTCAAAGCATTGGTGGATAGCGCGCTGGAGAGCGACCTTTCCAGAGGGGTTTTGTGGAGTGGCGCTGATCGCTTGCCACGAAGGTGGCTCCCACATGGCTCGTACCACGAGCTATACACTCTATACTGCGCCCACCAAACAAGTGCAGCGGACAGAGTGGCTTCCGCGAGCACCTTCTACAGAGTTCTTTCTGAGTCAGGGTGGTCCAAAAAGATTCGCTTCAGCCCACCTAGCTCCCACTCCAAGTGTTCTGTGTGTGCGAAGTTGAGGGCAAAGATAAGAGGAAGTTCCAACATTCAAGATCATTTGGACAATTGCGACAAACTATTGAGGCATCTTGCAGGCCAATATGCTGATCGTCAGTGCTATTGGGCATGTAGATCAAGAGCCCGCAGCTCTGGTGACATCATTTGTGCAATTTCAGATTCAATGGACCGGTCAAAATATGCATTACCAAGGTTTCACAGGGGAAGAACCCCGAAGGATTTGGAGAGCACAAAGCGCCCCAACCTGGAGGTAACTACCACAATGGTTCACGGCGTCGGCATCTACACTTATCTCAGCGACGAGAACCAAACCAGTGGAACCAACTGGGTGCTCGAAACCTTGAACAGGTCTCTCGAGCACACACACAAGGTTTTCCAGAAGAGGTCGAAGCCCTTTCCGCCAGTTATCAAAATATTTTCGGACAACACTCCAAAGGAGCCTCCATAGACTCATCAGTCATGCGCTTCATGGATGATTTTTGTTTTAGCGTTCTGTTGTCTCGTTGCTCTCGTCAGGAGATTAAGAACGGCCACTTTGGAGCCTGGTGCTCAATGATGACAGCGGGAGGGTATGCCCGTGTGATCTCCCACGAACATTTGCCAGTCGGTCACACTCATGAAGATATCGGTTTCTTGGCAAACTTGTTGAAAGGCATTGTTCAGGTTCGACTGCCATACACATATATAAAAGAACCAGGTCTACATACTTTATCTGCTCGCTGAGATGGCTACTTCGGCATGCTCTGTCGGTATGTCAGGGAGGGAGATGAGGACTTGCTTTGGGCCTAGGTTCTAGCAAATGTTCTTGGTAGTCCTTTTTGGTTCTCATCAATCTCAAGAAGTTGCATGCCCAGGCAGTGCCCACAAGATGTTGTCAAGTGTGGCACTCAGCCCACAAGCTTTGGCTCATCAGCACTTGAGTGCATGCCCCAAGGCTTCTGATGGAGAAGGTTGCACCATTGTTCACAGCAAAGGGCCTTGACTATCGGGTCGAATACATAACCAATATCAGGGATTGGGAGGGCTGCATTCCAAAAATCTCTACGCTGTATGGAGCCTATAGGAGACGGTCTGTAAAGAACAAAGAAGTCGTCCCACACAGCTTCACCTTCCTTCGCCGCGAAAGTGTCTTGATTGAGTGTAACACTGATTGACTTTTTGTTTTCCAAAGAAGGTGGAAAAGCCTAACACTACCTACATCGTTCCTGAGTTACTTTGCTCATCCATGATCTTTGCACCTGGCAGGTATGCCGTCAAGCCTTTTGGAAGATGCAGAGGAAAGGCTTCCACGGCGGTACGCCAAGAGTGCACAGGATGTGTTCGTTCTCGTGAAGGCATATGTCTCAGACAATGACTTGGCTCAGAAACCTCTTCTTGCATTTCCTGGGTGCCAACTTGGGGATGTGGAAGCTGCGCTAGACAAACTGGCACGGTCAGATGCCCCATGTTCCTCAACTAGAAACAATGTAGACTGATTCTTTGTCACAGGGACTCTTGCCCAACGCTAATCAACTCGGACCCCATACCAAGGTTTGCAGGTTTCTATGATGGAAGAACGTGAGGAAGAACTTGCTGCACTAGCAGAGTACCTACTCGAGAACTACACCCACTTCAGCAGAGGGGCCCATTACCTGCTTCAACTGGCAGGAAAGGTTGCCATGAAGCGAACTCAACCTCCAAATTTGCAATACATCCTGTCCGGCCCGTCGCCTGGAGTTCAGTATGGCCACGCTGAGCTTCGCGACCCCGAGCCTCATGTCATTCGTAGGCTCCGAGTACAGTTCCACCGGTACTACTAGTAGGCTTTTGGGTGGCAAACCTGGGGTGAAAGCTTCTGCAAGCGTGCCAGAAGTGAAAATGCGTCCGTGTTTCAATCTTCACTGTAGTAGTTACATGTCACAGGGAGATGCATCACTCAAGGCAAACTCGATCAAACCCGAAGCCAACCAATCTGAGTCAAGCCTAGACTTGAGCTGCCTTGTTTTCGGGCATGGCAGAACCAGTGCCGACACAACCGGTGAAGGAGGGGTCTTGTTTCTGCTTGTCTCAGGTTTCTCAGGTTTAACATGTTCATTCCATCCTCCCTAGGAGGAACCTGGCACCCCTGAGCTTCCCCAACAGTCCATGAAGACTCGCTTGATCCTGGCGATGGAAGAGGCACTGCTGAGAGCAGCCTCCTTTGTTGACTCAACACTAAACAAATCTTACCTATCAGTAAAACCTCCAGAAAATAGGAACATTCCTGTGACATCAATGAAGTCTATGGGTAATTCACCAATTCATCAAAGTGTGCCCATCACATGGCAGGTAACATCCACGAAGAATCTGGGCGAGTTTATCCATGAGCGCTACAACAAGGACGAATCCTCTCAGCGCTTCTTCGCGAAGGCCGGAGCCTTGTTCACCAAAAGGCTGCCACCAGATCTTTCTTCTCCTGTCAGTGTCAGGTGATGCTTGATTTCTTCTCATTGCCAGAGGTGGCATCTCGTTTGCCCACCCCTTCTGGTCCTGTGCTGACACATTCGCCAGTCTCAACACGGAAAAACTTTTACGTTCACCCTTATGATTTGGACATGACCAATTCTGCCAAATACGGGGTGAATGGAAAATGGCCATCAACGGTGGCGGTCAGAACCCACTTTCCGTCGCTGGTGCACCGAAATTACGAGTCCGAGAAAGAAGCGCTGGAGCTCAAGTTCAAGCCTGAGTCTCATGGACAGAAGCTGGAGCTTTTCTCAGCGGGGTACATTGACGGCCATTGTAAGGGAGTTATGGTACAAGGAGTCTTTGCCCTTTTGGACTACTTGGAACCTCAGTTTTTAATAGTGGTCGCTGTGTAGGGGAACTTGTCTTTGAAGTAGAAAGAACAAAAAAAAACTCCCTTTTCACTGCTACTATGTCTATGTGTGTCTTCCTGCTAAGGGTGTGGGACCAGCAGACATCTCTCACGATGAAGAGATGCTGAACCTTGTAGCTTCACTGAAGTACCTCCGTGCAAACTATACCCAGTTTGCCACCCAAGAGCAATGCATCTATGAAGCTCTTAGTCAGAAGCTTACCAAATTCACATGTAAGGGCAGAAGTCTCAAATCTTTTTGAGTATACAATATAGATGTTGTTTTCCTCAGGTCTCGCAAACCGGACAGCCGAGAAGGCAAAACCCGGACCACTTGAGCTCGCACTATGCTTTAAGGAGATTTGCATATATCTTTTCAGATTGCTCATCGGTCTCACGCCTGATCAGCGCGCCAGGAAGCAGTCCGCATGAAGCGCCTGACGAGCAAGGGAACTGCAGTCCGAGATCTTTTGTTTTCTGCAATAGCGGAATACAACCGGCTACAAACCACCAAGGTCCGAGTTCAAAACATGAATGCTTTCGACAAATAACCATTGTTTAATATTCCCTGAACGGGCATCTGGAGGCTTTCAAAATCAAGGAGGACCTCCGAAAGGTCATCTATGCTATCATGCGGTCACCCCCAGAGTTGCTCGATTTGATGAAGGCTGCCTCTGACTCTTACAAATTTGAGCATGGAGGTGCGGACAAAACACAAAAAACTAAGCATTGCATCGTGCACACTTTCATTCATGTTTTCAAAATTCCCTGAACGTCTACTTGTCAGCCTGGACTCTGGAAATCTTGAACGACGAGTTCTATGTCCCGGGACACTTCCATGGCGCACCGACCAGTGACGCATGGTGGAAGCAAACCAAGGCTTGGTGGAAGCAAACTAGGAAAAATGTTCCAAGGTCTTGAAGTTGGAGAGATAGCTTTCCGCTTCCACATGAACCTAGAACGCTGTCAGACGGTGACACCTGAAGCTACCATGCTCTGGGCTCAGCGCTCCTGGAAGGACCACTGCAAGAAAGCGCCGGCAGATGCACCTGCAAAACAGAAGGACTGGAAAGAACAAAGTGTTAGTCTTTTGAAAACGTTCTCTTTTGGTGAATGTTTTTGAGAAATGTTCCCTGAGAAAATGGCCCAGCGGGACCTGGCCTCCATGCACGACCTCATGGACATTTGCCTTTTGTGGGTCGCGATCCGCGAAGGTATTAAGGCACATGTGGGGGCCGGGTCTCTCTTCGTAAAGCTGGAGACCATGTTCCAGGATGGGCCGCTCGTCTTTGTGAAAGTTTGTTTTTGGGTCTCCCACTGAAAACCATGTATAAATTGGCTCAGGGGCAGGAGGGGTGATTTGTACAGGGTTTTCAAAGAAAACCGTGTATAAATTGGCTCAGGGGTGGGAGGGGTGATTTGCACAGTGGTTTTTAAAAACCGCGGTATTCCAACAAAAGGAAAAATAAACAGTGTATTTTGGAAGCCAACTTCTGACATCGATTTTATACACTGTTTATAGTTAGACCATTGAATTATACGTGGGTTTTTAAATTCCGCTGTATAATTTCCAGTTGGAATCCAAGACCAAATCTTACATGGTTTTGATGGAAAACCGCGTAACATGGCACCAGGATCGTACATTCATTTTTAAAAACCGCGGTACACAATCCCGCCCGCCCCGGCAGAACCGGATATGAAATCGCGCCCGCCCCGGCAGAACCGGATATGAAATCGCGCCCGCCCCGCCAGAACCGGATATGAAATCCCGCCCGCCCCGGCCGAACCGGATATGAAATCCCGCCCGCCCTGTCAGAACCCCGCCCAGATCCACAGGAACCAGATCGACAAGAACTGCAATTGAAACCCTGCCTGCCTACAGCAAAAGCGGTTCTCAGTTGCCCGCCTACAGCAAAGAACTGTTGGTGAAACTGACAACTTTACAAAATGATTGCCAGGTTCCCTTCGATTACTTTCAGAATCCATTACTTATATACAAAAATCCTCATGACCTTTACTTGACTTCCGCCTTGCACAAAACCTGCAAAACAAATGCCGACTACAGAACAACTGTTTAGTTAGGATCCATTCATTATAAATAATGATGGGTGTACTGGACCTTCACACCAAAACATCATTGTTTATATTCATAATCCCGGAAGAAGTTGGTGCATTGGGCGGTAGAAACTTGTAAGGACATTGGACCCAGAACTCAAAGCTCACGCAAAGACTGCAGACCCTTCGTTCGATCTCCAGAAGCTTTCGTTTGTGCTGGAATGCAAGGGACAGCTACAAGATGAAGAATTGGAGAAAGCTCAATCCAAGATCAACTCTGCTCTACAAACCAGTTTGCAGGCCGGCTTCAGCCTCTTTGAGACAAACTTGGCCAACGACCAACTCCAGCATAGGAGGTACCTCCTTGCCTCCAGCGGGGATGAAGCGAAAGCACGGGCTGCTGCAGTATCAAGCCTTGAGGCGCGTGACAAAATTGCAGGTGGTATATGTTGCCTTACAATTTAGCTATATAAACATAAAATGATCTTTCTGGTATGTTTCTCATATTGGACAATAATGAGGCAATTGAGCATGGTCGCATTATGTTTCGATAACAAAACCCCGCTGTAACAATTCGTTTTCCAGCCACGCCAAAACCCTGTGCAGAAAATGCATGGAGTTGCATGGAAGCTCGTCAACAACTTGGTGACCGAAGTTTGCCCCACTTGGAGCAATGCTGTGACTTCCAAAGCTACTTCCACGTGCAGTAACCTGGTTTCATTTGGTTTCTCTTTTTTGACAGCTTTGCTTTGTAGGCCCAATGGTTCTCGCATGGTCTCGCCTAAAAAATCAAGCCAATGAGTTTCAACCAAATCAGGCCCCGATGCCGACACCGATACAAGCAATGTGCTGGAGGCCAAACTGCAACCGTGGCTGGCTGAGACCCTGACAGGTCTCAACAATGGGATGAGGCGTCCTGAGAATGAAGGTGTGATCGGCTTGTTCAATCTGACCACACAGGGTGTGCTCAGCAACCACAAACTGCACTTCACACTGTCTCAGCTGACAAGTATGTCCCACAACTCACCCAAGTCTTTCATTGGAGTTCTGGTGCTGCCAAACAGGGCAGGCGATCTTCGAGTGAAGTCACTTGTCCACTATGCAATTTACTTTGGACATCTTTGGACATATTGTGGTTTGGATTAGTTGGTCATGTCCTGAAAATGGAAAGATGATTGTTTTATTCATTCTTATGTGCAAACCTTTTATAGTCCTGTAGCTGTAGTTCTCCTCACCCCTCTTGCACAAAGAGTAGACTACAATGAGTAGATTCTTGGCGCGTCTGAAATGCAGTTAAATGCAGTCTTCCTGAGGACTGAGATCAAGGCTGAAGACGAGGACGGTGACAATGCCGATGGAGGCCACTCCTCGAAAGGTCAATAAACTCAAAACCAAAAAAATCCAAACTTGAACCCGGTATAAGGTTTAATTCAGTCAGGCTACTAGTTGATATGCTTTGTCGCGCCGATGAAAAATTGAGAGAGACCAGAAGGGACTTCTCAATAGAATTTGGTGGAGTTCTGACCAGAACAAAGACCCCGGTCTGGGCTTTAAGTTTTTCAACTTGTCTGGTGCCTCCCTGCAGACACAGCTGGAGACGCCGAACCCGAGGGCGAGATCGATTCCGATGATGAGAACTCCAAGAACAATGCAAGCGGCGGAGATGCGTTGCTGCGCGATTTCAACTACAGGCTGACTTGCATGCTGCAAGAAGCAGGGCGCAATTTGCATGCACCTTGCCTTTTCTGTAGCATGTTTCAACCCTCGTTTCATTCGCGACCTCAAATGGTTTTGGTTTTTGGTTGGTTACTTTTGATTGCTAACCACTAGCTGTTCAAACCAAACCCATCCATCTACGCCGCCCAGTTCCAAAGGTGCGGAACGCCATGGTTACCTTCGAGCCTTCTTCCGTGTATGGGAGCAGGAGTGGCTATCAACAGGTGCTGCTCATTACATCCAATGACAAAAACAACATCTTCAGGCGCTCGCGTATTTGGAAGGTGGGTGTGATTCAAGGGGTCACGATGCTTGGAAGAGCAGAGATGCTGAAGCCAGCCCGTGCCTCCAAACTCTATGGAGGAGAAGCACGATTCACAAAAGTTCAAGAGATGAAGCAGGACAGTATCAGTGTGATGTTTTTGTTGAAGCTGTATCTCTTTTAAATCCGTTTGTTGGAAGGCACCCATGCAAGCTCAGTCACACAGCACTGGGAAGCATAGAATATGCGCTTTAAACATCTCTTTGCTGACCAATCCAAATACCAATATCATAGTTCAGCGATGTCCAGCCAGGGTTGAAAGCTTCTGCCCTGCGCAGTACTGCGGCGGCATGAACTTCATTGCTAAGCTGGTGGAGGGCTTGCAGCCTGGGGCAACGGAGGTTCCGCTTGTCCTCATTGACGCAATGGGCTTTGATGGATGGCCAGGCCAGTACGCTATTTCACAGTACGCTCGTGGATCATCGGCAGCATCCAATCATGGCATGCACTCTGTGTATACTTTTACTTTTGAAATGACTTTTTTGTTCTTTTGTTCCTGCTGACCTTCAAGCACTTCAGGAAAGAAGATTGCTTGCGCCACCATCTGTCACACCAATGCCGACGCAAGCTTTGTCTCATCCACCTTGGCTGGAAAAGTGTTCAGCATGGCGCGCAGCAATGAGCTGAACATCGCGGCCTTTCCCAACTTTAGTTCAGCGATGGCTGAAATCAAGCAGTTCCAACGGTCGCCGCAGCCAGACTATCAAGTCTGTGTGTGCCTGGGCGATGGCAGCCTCATCGTGAGAGAGTCACTCATTCAGTTTTGGTCGAAGAAGCACACAAGCTTTTTAGAGCAGCTGACCAACTTGGTGGACGACCACAACAAGGAGTTCAACCCGAAAGGGTTGAAGCGTGGAGCTGAACCCAACAATGAGGAAACCAATGAGGAAGTTGCTGAAACACCCAAAAAGCGTCTTCGATTGACCACGGCCAAGACCTATGCAGAGTTGGAAGCCGCCTTCCCGGAGAGGACTTCAACTTTAATCAAGCAAGTTTTGATTGAAAGAAAATGTCTCATGACACACAAATTCGTTGGGAAAGCTGCCCTTTTGATGTTTATCAACATTTATCAACCGTCAAAGAGTTGTTAATCAACATCGTCCTTGTTGTCAAAAAGTTGTTCCTTCGAGAGGACTGACCTCACCTGTGGGCAGTTCACACTCACCCTTTGCGACAGCGATGCATCTTTGTGGGTTGGGTCTGGGAAGGCTTTTGAGGTAGAGCCGAACACTGAAGTCTTTGGCTTTGGATCCGGCGATTTCTTGAAGGGAAGCCAGTGCAATGATGTGACCTCGGATGTTTCTGCCGAGGGGCGTTGGCTGTTGTTTGCTCTGAGCGACGCGAACGACTTGGTTGTTTTAGAAAAGCAACGAACGCCTCAGACGCAGCACTTGGAATCCCTTACTTTCTGGAACAAGGTTTCTTTGGTTGCACTTTCACTCGCTCAACCCAAACTGTGCGGCCTGATCCCCCGGCCCGGGTGCCAGCTGATCAGACTGTCAGGTTATGCCCCTTAATGAGTTGCTCAAGGTGCTGGAAGACAACGGGGAGGTCAACTACCAGGTTGCGGAACATGAGCTCACCAAGGATGCTGCTGGCAATTTCAGCATTAAGCCACTATCATCTGTGTGCTTTGTACTTGATGCACTGAAGCCCAAGAAGAAGAAAGCTAAGGTGAGGTACTTTCTTGATGAATGTAACTAACTCGTGAACAGGTGAGATCAACTGGTGTTAGAATATGAGTCAGTCAACTGGTGTTAGCATGGTGTCAGCTATTCTTGCGCAGTGTGCTGTGAAGGTTGCCAGCGCCATGACATTTGGAGCAAAAGTCAATTTTGCTAAGCTTCGGGGGTCCAGCAACATTCGTATCATTTGGAGGCTGAGGCGCTTTACTTGATTTTTCCCACTGCCTGTTCCAAGTTTCCCCCCTCTCTCCTGCGCTTGTCATCCAGGCTCGTCTCGGACAGCGGCGCCGCAAATTCCCAGCTTGTGCCTGTGAGGCCGTGCGCTGTTATGGCAGGAGGTCTGAGCTTAAAGCCAGATCATGTCCTGCAGATCTTGTGAGCCCCCGTGCAGCATGTTTTTGGGGTAGCATCCAAGTCTACTTGAAGGCTACTCAAACAATGTTTGTCATCTTTGTTCTGTAAACACTTGAAGCTGTCATGAAGCTGGTCGAATGTCTTTCACAGCTACCATGATGCTGCGAGTTGCCTTGGGCAGGGCCAAACCAGTCTTCCGATGGGGATAGAAGGTCGTTGCCAATCTTATCCAATCTTCTTGTGATTTCATAAACTTCAAAAATAGTCCACCCACCTTTGAAATTCGCTGGTTGTGTTCAGCAATGGGCACAGGCCTCTGAAAGGGATCACTGCGCTGCAGTGCCGGAAGGCTGCACCTTGCCAAACCAAAGCGGCTGAAATCATCTTGGGGGAAACAACTGTAACCTGTTTACAGAAGCCTCGAAAGTTCCCTCTGCTATGACAACTCTCTGCAAGTGATGTTTTGATAATTGAGCTTCATTTTATGGTGATTCATGCTGTGCATGAACAGGCAGGCTCTTCAAATCCTTTGCCCCTTCGGTTTCGGCACTTGAACCTGGGGCGTTCGCCATGTCTGGACGAATGCCTGGCACAGGATCGGCAGGAAATGTGGTTTCTGCCCCAGCTTTCTCGATCAACGATTACAGTATGCTGATTGATGGGTCAGAGTCTCGCGAGCGGCCGGTTGCACAACCAAAGCCAAAGCTGGTAAGATCTGCTACTTCTGACCCTTCATCAGGACTCTTCCATTGATGTACTTCATGCAGTGTCTTTCGCTTAGGAACCCCTTCATCTTGCATTCTTGCAGGATCCCTTCTTCAGCGCTGTGAGGTCTCTGGATCTGGGTCAGGGGATTCGAACGAGAGAACCTCTGGTCAAGAGGGTATGGATGGGGATGAGGAGCCAGCACCTGATCTCAAAAAGAGGCCTGCTGCAAAGGCAAAGCAGACTCCAAAACGTAAGAAAGAAGACGATTCTGAACTGACAGCCCTTGGTCAGTGCAGAGGAAATGATGACGAAGACAAGGATGAAGAAGAGGGGGGAACGGAAGGAAAAGAGAAAGAGAAGAAACATCATGGCAAAAAGCATGCCAAGAAAGACAAAGAAAAGAAAAAGAAAGAGAAAGAAACGAAACGTCGTGGGAAGAAACGCGCAGCTGGCCCTGACAGCAAGTCTGTTGATGATGAATCTGATGATGAAGCTTGCGAGGACCCCAAGTTTGCAAGCCCTTTGCAATAAAGACCGCCTTGTATGAACAAGTATGGACACTATCAGTGTCTATGCGCAGTCAACTTTGTCGGCATGTGCACTATTATCATGCTCTGCAGGACCAGGAATGTTCAATGGACTATGGGGAGGTGAGCGAGGATGATTTGAAGCTTGCTATGATGCGCGCTCACCTTGCTGAGCAGCGTGCTTTGCACCCGGACCAACAGGCAGGACACATGAAGGGGAAATGCCTGTCTTCACATTTGAACTTGACACGTCTTCTCCCAGCCTGGATTGGGAAAGGAAGATCTGCGCGTCCATGGTGATCATGGTGCTACGCCCTGGCATCGTGAGGCAAGAACAACCTCCCCCCGCAAGAGGGGAGGCTCCTTTTTTTCACAAAAAAATGAATCAATGGAGACTTGATGAACAGACTTCATATGGGTGTGATCAGTCAGTTTGATCTAGACTTTTTGAACAGGCGGCACCGTTGGAGCCAGCTATAGCACCTGTGGGCGACATTGACACCGACACAACCCTGGACTGATCATTCGCATTACGTCGCATCCACATGTACGCAATATCTGTTACTCAATGTTTTCTCACATTGTTGAATGACCAGTTTTATCAAGTCAACTATTCGTTGCATTCTGCTTGGGCATTGAGCGTGCTTTTATGTTGTAGGGGTGGAGCTCCCTAGCCTAAATCCTTGGCAAGACCAGCAAGACCACCCACTGGTCATCTCTAAAGCTTTAAGGTCTCTAAGAATTGGGTTCCGAGGATACTTCAAGAATCAAGAATCATGCTGCGCTGTCTATGACAATCACCGTTTGGTTGAAGCATCAGTTCCAATGTGCCTATGGGCCAAAGGTTCTACCTAGTTTTTGTAAATTGAAGCCATGGTGCCAAGATGGGTTTGGCATGTAAAACTCCACGAGATATGTTATAAATGTTTTGTTTTGCAGGACTTGGGGTTTTGGGACACGGAGGATGAGAAAGAACAGATTGAGGAGATTGAAGAGCCTATCGCTTTCCGTGCTGGAGACAGCATCAACAATCCCGATATTTATGTATGGCGCAATGGGGATGAAGTTCATGTGGCACCTGGTTCAACTTTCACACTCGAGGACTGTTTTTAGTCATCATTTTCACACTAGAGTTGATGAACATCAAAAACTGACAATGTCGCTGTGAAACCCTGCCAACACCAAGAAAATACTTGAGCCAGGAACTCGATGTACTCCGTGTCCAAACTAGACTCCGTCACAACGGCTGGAAATTTCCCCTCGAGGATGAGCCTACGAAGGAGGTGCCACTTGCTGAACATGCATCACCTCAAGCCGCACATGAGCAGGAGAGCGACTGCAATGCTTCCAAGGATACAAGTCTACTGTCACACTGTAATACCTTTTCTTGACAGAGTTCACTTTAAGTAAGGTCTGAACCCTGCCTCACTTTCCCATGTTTCTCTCAGGAACCTCTTTTGGACCCCATTGCGACAAGCCCAATTTTGATCGATGACCATGATGACGGACCTGATGAGGAGAAAATATTGGGATAGCGTTGGGGCATGTTTCAATGTTTCCATAACTCCTTTTCTTTAGTAGTCTGAGAAGGAGCTTGACCATCGAGAGCCTGAAAACAAGGTTGGTATCCCAGCTGGCGGTCTGTTTTTTGGTATGTTTACTTAAACACCTGGCTATATATTGAGGTTGAGCCAATGGAAACCACAGACATCTCGAAGATGCCAAGATCTGAGCTATGCTATTGCTAAGCTTGTTGATTTATGTTCACGCCGGTTCTGATTATAGTGGCCCCCAAATAGATAGAAAAGTAAATCCCCTCAAAAAATGTATTGGAAACCGTTTCTATCTATTTGGGGACCACTGTACTGTAGTACTTATAATATGTGGCTTGAGGCTGCTCGCGCAAGCCAGCCCCATGGTTGCCATCCGTGGAGGTGGCAGTGAACTTTACCAGGTTGAGAACACTGGGAGCCCAACCCCTGAGCTCGCCAAGGAAGACCCACCCAAAGAGATCAAAGAGATCGAAGAGATCGAAGACAATACCATGGACCAGAATCCAAAAGAAGAGAGCCAAGACAAAGACGAACACAAGACAAACACAAAGGATGGGCCAACTGTCCCTTCCACTGCTGCAGCGTGTGGTGCCAAAGCATGTCCCAAAGCATCCGCCAAAGCGTCTGCAAACAAAGGTCCCCAGAAGCCTTGCCCAAAGACAGCAGCAGCAGTGAAATCGCGCGCCAAGAGGACCTCCCCAAAGAAGACTCCCACAAAGAAAACAGAATCGCGCGCCAAGAGGACCTCCCCAAAGAAGACTCCCCCAAAGACCACCAGGTCTCCCAAAACAGACAAGAAGAAAGAGAAAACGACAGAACTCCAGACTGGCTACAACCAAGTCTACTCGCGAGTATATCGCCGATTGCAGAGACAAGGGTTGGATCATGAAGAGGCCAGGCTCACTCACCTTCAAAACAATAACAAATTATATATATATATATATATATGCGACTCGTCACCTTTATATAAATCTAAATCCTTTTAACACTCACCTTTCCTGGGCAGGTGAAGCGCCAGGCCCGTTTGCAGGCACAACAGGCCTGTTCCTGAGGAACGTTTCTCAGACCCTGGCCGGATCGCAGGGGGGACTGCGGTCGTTGAGAATCGTTGAGAAAAATGGCTGCAGCGGATGGTGCGTGGGCCTGGGGGGCGTTGAATGAGAAGTGGATGGGGTCACCTAATACCAATGAAGTTCATTGAAATTCAAAGTCCTAGTTGCATTTGGGCAAAGTCTCACTTTGCATGAGATGCCCTTAAAACCAAAGGCCAAAGGCCGAGTGAAGGCCTTAGCCAAACCCAAGGCAGCCATGGCAGTTGTGCGGGGCAGGGGTGCCCTGAGGAGGCCAGCATTGGCTCCACCACCCGCTGCAGCTCCTGGGCCGCGGGAGCTTTGGATGTCTGGAGAGGAGGTGTCGATGAGAAGTGTGCCGTTGGAGTTGCTAGGTCGGGGTGTGAAGTTGGTGGTGAGCGAGGGGACGTATTTCACAGCCCCATGCCAAGTTGCTGGAACTATCGACAGGCTGGAGATAGCGGGCGAGGACGTCCATGCATTGATCAGAGCAACAGGGACCAGCAACGAGAACCTCCTCCGACACGCCAGCGACAAGACCAAGAACGTCCTTCGATTGCACAGGTGCGGAGCAGACTGCTCTGGAGACAGAGTCTCGGAAGATTTGGTGCATTGCAAGATGATTCGTCAGGCGAAGAGCAAGGAGGCCGAAGAAGGCTGGGTCGACAACTTAGAGACGGTCGCGACCATGGAGGACGACCTCAAGGATCTTCGAGCACGAGAAGCAGGCATTGGGGCCCCATTGGCCAAGGAGGGTGCGTTGGACCGGGAGCGGGGTCGCTCCTTGAAGAAGAAGGAGAAGAAGAAGAAGGCCCGGTCGAAGAAGAAGAAGAAAGACAAGAAAGGCAGGGGTTCAGTGCACAGCTCGCCCGACAAGGGCGGAAAGAGCAAGAAGAAGGTCGATGGCAAGAAGGAGACGTTCGGTGCGGCTTCAACGTCGAGTTCATCGAGCAGTGTGGACCTGTCGGGACGCAAGCCGTGCTCGGCGGCCGTCAAGGGG